TCTTAAGGAAACCACCTGCTTTGGAGAGTGAATATGTGTATGTTTTCTTTCATGAACTTGAAAAAAGAAATGAGCAAAAGTGTTTGTTATATAAATTCTTTTATTTTCAGTTTTCCACAGTGCACACAAAAATTGTTGTTATTCCCAACAGAGCCAGCGCTGGATACTTTGAAAGTACCCTAGCTGTGAAAGAAAATGTCAGGGGATTGATTTGTAGGCAGTCAAGCCTAGTAGTCAGAGTTTGGCTGCCGGAGTCAAGGGGCAAAACAGGATCAAAACCAGGAACCAGGGCTGAACATCAGAACCAAAGTCAGAGTCCAAATGCCAGAGCCAAGGGTCGAGACAGAGTAAGAGCCAGGAATCAGAGCCAAAGGTCAGAACTGGATTACCAGGAGTCAGGGAAAGCAAGAGCAGGGGTGATTCTGAGGCAGCAGCAAGACTGGGACAGGATGTGAACAAGGCTGGGTGCAGGGCAGGGTCTAGACTGTAGCCGTGGAGGAGACGATCAGGAGCAGAGCTTAGAGAGAGACGAGCACAGGAAGGCAGAGAATCCATGGACGTGGGTGTTGAGCAGCCAGCAAGCTACTGCTGCAGCTGGGCTTAAGAACTGGCCTGCTAGCTTCCTCAGCCACTCAGGCAGGGCCGTCCATCAGGCAGGCTAGCCGGCTTGTTAGGGTTTCAGGAATACTGAGCAGGCGCAGCTGCAGGGCCTTACTCCTGACAGAAAGTGACAGTGTGTACTAGTAGGCTGGGCCCTTCCACAGTGATCATAATACACAAGGAGATTGGCCTGGACGGGGTTCCAGACTGAAATGTGACAGGATGCACCGTGTGGGTGACAGCAGAACAGAAATTACAAAAACTGAGTGAGAAGAACAGGAGTACTTGTGACACCTTAGAGACTAACAAATTTATTTGAGCATAAGCTTTCGTGGGCTGCAGCCTACTTCATCGGATGCGTGTAGTGGAAAATACAGTAGGAAGATATATATATATATACACAGAGAACATGAAACAATGGGTGTTACTATACACACTATAAGGAGAGTGATCAGTTAAGGTGAGCTTTTATCAGCAGGGGAGGGGGAAAAAAAACCTGTTTGTAGTGGTAATGAAAATGGCCCATTTACAGCAATTGACAAGGAGATATGAGGAACTGTGGGGGGAAATAAGCATGGGGAAATAGTTTTACTTTGTGTAATGGCCCATCCACTCCCAGTCTTTGTTCAAGCCTAATTTAATGGTGTCCAATTTGCAAATTAATTCCAATTCAGCAGTCTCTCGTTGGAGTCTGTTTTTGAAGGTTTTTTTGTTGTAATATTGCGACTTTTAGGTCTGTAATCGAGTGGCCAGGGAGACTGAAGTGTTCTCCAACTGGTTTTTTAATGTTATAATTCTTGACGTCTGATTTGTGTCCATTTATTCTTTTATGTAGAGACTGTCCGGTTTGGCCAATGTACATGGCAGAGGGGCATTGCTGGCACAAGATGGCATATATCACATTGGTAGATGTGCAGGTGAACGAGCCTCTGATAGTGTGGCTGATGTGATTAGGTCCTATGATGGTATCTCCTGAATAGATATGTGGACAGAGTTGGCAACGGGCTTTGTTGCAAGGATAGGTTCCTGGGTTAGTGTTTTTGTTGTGTGGTGTGTGGTTGCTGGTGAGTATTTGCTTCAGGTTTGGGGGCTGTCTGTAAGCAAGGACTGGCCTGTCTCCCAAGATCTGCGAGAGTGATGGATCGTCCTTCAGGATAGGTTGTAGATCCTTGATGCGCTGGAGAGGTTTTAGTTGGGGGCTGAAGGTGATGGCTAGTGGCGTTCTGTTCCTTTCTTTGTTGGGCCTGTCCTGTAGTAGGTGACTTCTGGGTACTCGTCTGGCTCTGTCAATCTGTTTTTTCACTTCAGCAGGTGGGTATTGTAGTTGTAAGAACGCTTGATAGAGATCTTGTAGGTGTTTGTCTCTGTCTGAGGGTTTGGAGCAAATGCAATTGTATCGTAGAGCTTGTCTGTAGGCAATGGATCTAGTGGTGTGATCTGGATGAAAGCTGGAGGCATGTAGGTAAGTATAGCGGTCAGTAGGTTTCCGGTATAGGGTGGTGTTTATGTGGCCATCGTTTATTAGTACTGTAGTGTCCAGGAAGTGGATCTCTTGTGTGGACTGGTCCAGGCTGAGGTTGATGGTGGGGTGGAAATTGTTGAAATCATGATGGAATTCCTCAAGGGCTTCTTTTCCATGGGTCCAGATGACGAAGATGTCATCAATGTAGCGCAAGTAGAGTAGGGGTGTTAGGGGAGAGAGCTGAGGAAGCATTGTTCTAAGTCAGCCATAAAAATGTTGGCATACTGTGGGGCCATGCATGTACCCATAGCAGTGCCGCTGATTTGAAGGTACACATTGTCCCCAAATGTGAAATAGTTATGGGTGAGGACAAAGTTACAAAGTTCAGCCACCAGGTTTGCCGTGACATTATCAGGGATACTGTTCCTGACGGCTTGTAGTCCATCTTTGTGTGGAATGTTGGTGTAGAGGGCTTCTACATCCATAGTGGCTAGGATGGTGTTTTCAGGAAGATCACTAATGGATTGTAGTTTCCTCAGAAAGTCAGTGATGTCTCGAAGATAGCTAGGAGTGCTGGTAGCGTATGGCCTGAGGAGGGAGTCTACATAGCCAGACAATCCTGCTGTCAGGGTGCCAATGCCTGAGATGATGGGGCGTCCAGGATTTCCAGGTTTATGGATCTTGGGTAGCAGATAGAATACCCCTGCTCGGGTATTCTATTTTTTTTTCTCCCCTGCTGATAAAAGCTTATAGTGTGTATAGTAACACCCATTGTTTCATGTTGTGTGTGTGTGTGTGTGTGTATATATATATATATATATCTTCCTACTGTGTTTTCCACTACATGCATCCGATGAAGTAGGCTGTAGCCCACGAAAGCTTATGCTCAAATAAATTTGTTAGTCTCTAAGGTGCCACAAGTACTGTTCTTTTTGCGGATACAGATTAACACAGCTGCTACTCTGAAAAACTGAGTGGTGTGTGACGCAGTTTGTGTCAAGGAGTATTTTAAATGTGAAAACAAAATATTTTTTAATTCTTCCCTCCCCTACTCAATTATCTTTCACCCTTTATTTTTGTTCTCATCATCCCCTCTCTCTCTACTTCCGCTCCCTTGTGTTCCATTTCCATGAGCCGAGTGTGACAAATTCATTTTTTTAAATTAGTTTTTAAAAATGTTTGCATCAAGCCCCAAATTTCACCACGGACCCACCATTAGACACTGCTAAGAAGACTGCACATCAGCTATTTGTCAATGTTACATTGCCTTTTCCCATCTCAGAGAGGAGGAGGACTGGGAGAAGGAGGAGAGAGAGCTTGTGCCCAGATATGCTGGAGCTTAGCCCCTCCTAGTGCCTTAAAGCCCACATGGGCGTGAGCCAAGTGGGGGACTGAGGAGCAAATTGGCACTAACAACCTCCCCTCCCCCCCACACACACACCATCCCTGCCCATCCCATGTATTTATCTAGTTATTTTTTGAACCCTGTTATAGTCTTGACCTTCACAGTATCCTCTGGCAAAGAGTTGCACAGGTTGACTGTGCGTTGTGTGAAAAAATACTTCCTTTTTTTGTTTTAAACATGCTGCCTATTTATTTCATTTGGTGACCCGTTATTCTTGTGTTATGAGAAGGAGTAAATAATACTTCCTTATTTAATTTCTCTTCACCAGTCATGATTTTCTAGACCTCTATCAGATCCCCCCTTAGTCATCTCTTTTCCAAACTGAAAAGTCCCAGTCTTATTCATCTCTCTCATATGGCAGCTGTTCCGTACCCCTAATCATTTTTTTGCCCTCCTCTGTATCTTTTTCCAATTCCAATATATCTTTTTTGAGATGGGGTGACCACATCTTCACACAGTATTCAAGATGTGGGCATACCATGGATTTATATAGAGGCAATATGATATTTTCTGTCTTATTATCTATCCCTTTCTTAATGATTCCCAACATTCTGTTAGCTTTTTTGACTGCCACTGCACATTGAGTGAATGTTTTCAGAGAACTATTCACAATGACTCTGTCCTGATTAAACACAGAAATCTTCAACAACTGTGCTGTAAATCACTGAATTTGTAGGTGCATCTTCAACTATCAGAATCTTTGAGGAGCCCTATAACAAAAAATAGTTAAAGAACTGTGTCCTAAGAATTTTATGCTAATCGGAGGGACACAGCCCTGACTTACTTTGGATGGTCACCTGTTCCTGCTTACACAAGAGATTCTCTTTTTCAAGAGTTTTTTAATATTTTAAAGTGCAGCTGTCCTGACTGTTTAAAATGTCATTACCTTAATTCAGCACATCTGCACCATGTGTGTATTCAATGTCTTAACTTCTTACATTAGTGACAAAAATAAGCTTCTGCTACATTTTACTTCTGTTAACTCAAGTGTGCTTCATTATTTAATAAAGTCCAGAAATTCAAGTGCAGTTGATAAAGTTGGGTCTATATAAAAAGGAGCTGATGCTTTCACATCTGCTGGATTTTTTTTTTTTTTTTTTACTGTCTATTTAGGTTTCCATCTAACTGGACATTACAAGTCACCTCAAAGTGTGCTATCTGCACAAGAGTTGGGCTGGAGGCATGAAATATAAATTAACAATATTATGTAATACTAAAAGCTGTGATGGAACATATCCCAGTGTAAATGTTACACAGCAAAAGGGAGGGAGAAGTTATCGATGAACTTATAATTAATTAGGTACCTAGACAAAATGGTTCGTAAAAAATATTAGTGGCCGGTTAGAATCCAGGCATGACACCAATTAACATGCACAATATTCGACACGCTGTTTCCATTAAAATTCTAATATAGGGGGAAACAATGAGTTCAAAATATGCACAAGCAAATAAGGAAAGTAAGAGTGTCCTTAAATATAATTTTTTCATGTGCCCTGGAATGTGTCTCCATTATTTCCATATTCTCCTTTACAGGCAATTGGGGCTAGACTTGGTTCCAAGAAAAGAATATGCTATGGTGGATCCTGACGAGATCAGTATTACAGAACTCTATAGGCTGGTAAGTAGATTCTTTCCCGGGGCACCCAGGGTTGAAAGCCCTTGCTACCTCTTACCCTTAGCATGAGGAAGCCTTGTCTGTGCCTGCTGGGGTCAGCTTCCCAAATCCACTGGACATGGGCAACACAAGGACTCCCCTCTAGGCCTGTGCAGGCCCTGCTGTCACTCCACAGGTTAGCAATTGGCACACTCCAGCGCTTGAGCCCTCCAAGTGTGTACCTGGAGCATCCTGCCCCTGGTCTATTGGACACTTGCAGTATTTACAGATTCACTGCTTCCAAAGAAGCAGTATGTGCCAGCTTACCAGTTCCACTTCCGATCACTGCCCTGTTATAAACATATCAAAGCACTTAGATATGTTTATAGTGAAATAAAGTATAAGTTTATTTACCAAAGCTAGAGATTCAAGTAGTAGCAAACAGAAATATTGGAAACAAATGGTTACATAATAAATAAAATCATAATCTACATTCTAGACTTAAGACTTAATTAACAAGATACTCTTGTGCAGGGGTCAGCAATGTGTCTGTGTACGGACACAAGTGTCCACGGTAAAAATTTTGAGGTCCGTGGAGGGCGCTCATGGGCGGGTCCCCGCAAGCAGCTCCCCGTCCCTGCTGTTGCTGACGGAGGGATGGCCAGGCGGCTCCGCACGCTGCCTACGTTCCCCCTCCCCGAGTGCTGACTCCGTGGCTCCCGCCCATTGGCTAGGAACCGTGGCTAATGGGAGCTGCGGGGGCGGCACTTGCGGATGGGGCAGTGTGCAGAGCTGCCTGGCCGTGCCTCTACGTAGGAGCCGGAGGGGGGACATGGCATTGCTTCTGGGAGCTGCTTGAGGTAAGCGCTCCATGGAGCCTGCATAACCACCACCACCCTGCCCCAGCCCTGATTCCCCTCCCATCCTCTGAACCCCTTGGTCCCAACCTGGAGCACCCTCCTACACCCCAAATCCCTCAACCCCACCCCAGAGCCTGCACCCCCAGCTGGAGCCCTCATCCCCCTCCCCACCCAACACCCTGCCCCAGCCTGGAGCCCCCTCCGGCACTCCAAACCTTCAGTCCCAGCCCAGAGCCTCCTCCTGTACCCCAAATCCCTCATCCACAGACCCACATGAGAGCCTGCACCCCCAGCTGAAGCCCTCTCACCCCCCCACACACATCCCCACCCCCCTGCTCCAGCCCAGAGCCCTCTCCCGCACCCTGAACCCCTCATTTCTGGCCCCACCCCAGAACCTGCACCCCCAGCCCAGAGCCTGTACCCCCCCACACACCCAAACCCCCTGCCTCAGCACAGAGCCTCCCCGCTGCCCCTCCAATGTCCATCACTAAGTCCAGTAATTTTGTCAAGTGTCCGTCACACAACATGGTGGTGCTGACCCTTGCTCTTGTGTCTTGTAGAGTAATGCTCACCCAAAATCCTTGCAGTGCTTTATAGCCTGGCTGGCTGTGACCCTGTTTTCATGAGTAAACACTCTGTCAGTTTGTCTCCTCCAAGGACTCTGTGTGTCCCCTTGCACTCCAAGAAAAAACACATTCCTTTGTTTTTATTCATAAACCGGATACCCCATCCCTCGCTGTTGGTTTATTCCTGTTAATTTTGTCTCTTGTAGATTTCGCAATCTCTCAGCCCACCCTGGCTCCGTATGCAGTATGCATTGTGAGGCATATAATACACAAAAGTCCAGACAGGGAGATAGTTGTCCATTACCTCCTGTCTGAAAGGAACATTTCCAAGGTGTGTCACTTCCTGGTGACTACCTTAATTCCAGGGCCTTAAGAACATAATTTTTAGTATAGATACATAACTCCTTAAATATTATCTGTTTATACATTTCACAATGATCATGATGACCAGTGGGCTATTGGCACTCGGTAGAGATTTCACATTCCACCCTTTGGTGAACTGTTATGTAGATATCACTCCCAGAGGATCTCTATAAAACCCTATGCACCCCCTGTGTCCTGTGACAGTTCAAAATTTAAAAAAAAATTCTAATGTCTGGGTCAGTATATTTCTATTGATAACATAATGGAATTTGTCTTGATATCAGAAATTTCTTTGGGGCTATTTTGATGCATCTGTAGTTCTGAAAGATACTTTCATTTGAGTTAAACTTTCCACTGACAATGTGTGTGTGTGTGTGTGCGCGTGCTCTGCATGTTATGTGGATTTGATATATCATCAGTGAAACCATTACAGTTCTGGAATGGTTCCATAAAAGCTTAATCATGAGTAAAAGCATATGAGATGCTTTCTTTAATACTGTAACTGGGCCCTTAGTTGCATTAGGCTGCAAAGATTAATGGAATTGTAATAATATATCCATTGTATGAGTATTGTCACTCTTAATCATATTGGTTGTGGGGTCTCTTCAGCTAATATAATAACATGGATGTCAATAAGGCTGTATGAGACAACTCTCCTTTTGGCTTCTCTGTACACAGAATGATCCATTTTATTTTATGGGAAACTATAATTATTTTTCAAGGGGCCTGATCCATACAAACTCCATTGAAGTGAATGGAAAGACTCCAATTGACTTCAGTAGGATTTGGATATGACCTATGGTAATGTTAAATTGCTACAGTAATATAGAACTTATCTGCTTAAGTTTAAAAACTTTTTTTAAACTAAGTTTTACTCTTGTTAACACAAATGTATTTGAATAATTAACATGGCCCATAGAATAAAGCACAAATGAGAAGATTGGGCCCATATAAATGTGAGCTGACATATTTACATTTGCTAATATTCTTTTTTTACTATATATTCTGATTATCATTTGACTTGACATTACAGATCACCTGTTTCATTGTGGTGTCAGTTAAGTATTTGGGTTATGTGTTGAAAACACTGGGTTAGTCCTTCTCAAAGTTCAAAACTGTATGTAGTATTACAGAATCATATTTGGACACTTAATATGAAATATTTTTCTAATTATGTGGAAAGGAAATTAATCAAGTGAAGAAAAATGAAAAATACAATTAAGTGGAAAAACGCTGACTACTTCATAAGTTTAGCTAAATTAGATAAGAAGAATAAAAGAAATAAAATTAGATATTGCTAACGTGGGCAACCTTACTAAAATTAGTGAGCAGCTAAGCAATGTAAATTTTAAAAATAAAAAAAGGAGAAAAGCAAAAGATGTTAGCTTACATTGAGAATTAAGTACTTTGGAAGTGTCACATTTTGATTTAAAAAAAAACACGTAATTTTAAATGCTAAGAGACAGAAATAGTACTACTTGATTTTTTATTTTTTTTTTATCCCGGGTTCCATTAAAATGGTCAAACTATAAACTGATAAATGAGATTATTAAGGGAAAAAGCAACTGACCTACAGAGCAGTCTGGCACAGATTATACTATGTGGAAGTGAACCTTTCGGTTTTAGAATAATAACTACAAAGCAACGGTATAGTTTATTTTAAAGCTTTTTCAGGAGCAATTCTTTAAACCAGATTTTAAATAAAGCGTGGGTACGTACCTGCCTAAGGTGGTTTTGGGTGGTTAGAAGAAGGAGCTGGAAGGTTGGGGTTAATGGATTCTAACAGTCCGAATTGAGAGCAGTGGGTAACCCTGATTAAGTCATGCCAGCACCTTATTCCTCTTATCTGGGAAATAGATGAAAATCAGTTGGCTCATTGCAGAACAGGTGCTACATCTAAAATGAGGGGTTTGGGATTAAGAAATTACCCCCACATTTAGAATTTTTAACTAGTGCTATTTTTTATAAATATTTGAACGTGCTGATAGATGTGGTTGTTGTTGATACTAATATGTAGATGGAGCATCGTCATCGAAAGAAAGACACTCCTATCCCAGCAAGCAGCCACCATCTTTTTGTGCAGATGAAGAGTCTGATGTGCTCCAATCTGGGAGAGGAACTGGAAGTCATCTTCTCACTGTTTGATAGTAAAGAGAATCGACCAATCAGGTAATAACATCAATTTTCATGTAAATATTTCAAAACCACAGTTCAGAAGGACTTAGATTAGTGTGTTCCATGCATCTTACGTGATGGAGCTAGTGATACGTTTAGGACTTGTCTACACAGTGTGGCAATGCTGACTATGGGAGTATGATTTCTAAAGTTCTCTGATGCATTACACCATAGGTGCTGACTCCGTGGGTGCTCCACCTCCGGAGCACCCACGGAGAAAAATTAGTGGGTGCTGAGCACCCACCGGCAGCTCCCTGTGGCCCCGCCCCACCACCCTGCTCCAGCTCGCCTCCACCTCCTCTGCGAGCACGCCACCGCGTCCTGCTTGTTCCCCCTCCCTCCCAGCGCTTGCGCCGCGAAACAGCTGTTTCGCGGGGTAAAGAGGAGGGGGAACGCGGCACGCTGGGGGAAGAGGCAGGGATTTGGGGAAGGGATCCAATAGGGACAGGGAGGGGGCAGAGTTGTGGCGGGGACTTTGGGGAAGGGGTTGGAATGGGGGGGCGCGAGCTCCCACCGGCACCAGAGAAAGTTGGCGCCTATGCGTTACACATTAATTGGTCCATATACACCTTGCTGATGTGCACTAAAGGTTCCCTAGTTCAGGGGTTCCCAACTTTTTCTTTCTGAGGTCCCCCCCACCATACTATAAAAACTCGGCCCACGTGTGTCACAATAATTGGATTTTTGCATATAAAAGCCAGGGCCGGCATTAGGGGGTAACCAGCAGGGCAGTTGCCTGGGGCCCCATGCCACAGGGGCCCCTGCAAAGCTACATTACTAAAGCTTTAGCTTCAGTCCCAGGTGGCAGGGCTAAGGGCCCTGGGCTTCATCCCCATGTGGTGGGGCTTCGCTTTCTGCCCTGGGTCCCAATGAGTCTAATGCTGGCCCTGCTTGGTGGACCCCGTTATGACGTTGCACTCTATATGATTTTATAAAAATATGCTAATTAATGAGTGAATATAATGTAACTGGAATATGCTTCATGCAAAAGGTCTCTTGTAAGGTATCATTACAAAGTTTATAATCTACTGAGTGTGGTCATCGTATTTGTATAAATGTATCACTCTTGTATCTGAAACTAGAAATATGAAATATAACTCTGAGGGCCTATTGTAATTATGCAAAGTGTGGGCCATTAATTAGTGGTTTGGAATCTTGATGGCTCCCATCAACCAGGACAATTGACTGTGGATGGCTCTGTTTGCAGGCAAGTCTTCCTGTGAGTCAGACTGGGACGAATGAAGGCTTAGGGTCTTACAGTGACATGTGATCATGTCACCTGAACTGGAATCCATCTTTAACCTAGTGCTTTTCCATTGGGTGGGAACCCAGAGGAACAAAGGATTCCCGCCTTATGCAAAAGATATATAAATGGGTGGAAGAGAACAAAGAGGGGGCCATCATGAGGAATCCCCTACCTACCACCTGAGCTGGAACAAGAGCTGTACCAGGGGAAAGTATTGTGCCCAGGCCTGGAAGGTGTCCAGTCTGAGGAAAAAACTTACTGAAGCATCTCTAAGGGTGAGATTATCTGTATTCAGTTTGATTAGACATAGATTTGCGTGTTTTATTTTATTTTGCTTGGTGACTTACTTTGTTCTGTCTGTCACTACTTGGAACCACTTAAATCCTACTTTCCGTATTTAATAAAATCACTTTTTACTTATTAATTAACCCAGAGTATGTGTTAATACCTGGGTGGGCAAACAGCTGTGCATATCTCTCTATCCGTGTTATAGAGGGCGAACAGTTTGAGTTTACCCTGCAGGATAAAACGGATTTATTTGGGTTTAGACCCCTTGGGAATTGGGCATCTGAGAGTTAAAGACAAGAACACTTCTGTAAGCTGCTTTCAGGTAAGCCTGCAGCTGTTTGGGGATGTGATTCAGACCTGGGTCTGGGTTTGCAGCAGGTTAGCGAGTCTGGCTCAAACCAGGCTGGGCACTGAAGTCCTAAGCTGACGGGACAGGAAAGCAGGGGCAGAAGTAGTCTTGGCACATCAGGTGGCAGCTTCCAAGGGGGGTTCTGTGATCCAACATGTCACACCCGTGAAACCTGCTCGCGGCACCCCCCCAGGGGGCCCCAGATCTCTGGTTGAGAACCACTGCCCTAGTTGATTCTCGGACTAATTAATGCACAACATGTTAGTGCAGTTTAGAAATCACAGCCCTGTAGTGCGCAGCACCCCACTGTAGAGACAAGCCCTTAGTTATACTTTCAGAAACAGGTATAGGATGGCCTTGGTTATTAGAGGAGCATTAGTAACCTCTGTAATACCATCGTAGTTTCAAATTAATATTGCTTTTATCCACCAAGTTCTTCACTTTTTTCAAATATTATTTTGTTTTTGTGTGAGAGGTTGGAGGTGTGTGCCCCCACGTGCACGTTTGCACATATAGTGAGTATTTACTTTGTAACGTGGAGGTCATTTTTAGCTGCTCCTTCTCTTCCAGCATTCAGGTTGCATCCGTATTTTGCTGCCGCTTCCTCCATAAGGTTTCTAAGATCCATTTGCTTTATGTTCAGACAGCCAAAATTCTGTCCAGGCCCTTATCTCCTGTTTTGATTACTGTAACCTGCTGTGGACTCCTTAATAGCCATGCCATCCCTTTCCAGTTCATACAAAATACAGCTTCTAAAGTCATCCTCCTTGCTCATCACTGTGACAATATCATCTTCCCCCTTCCACTTGCAAAACTGGCTTCTATGGTTCTGTGGGGCTCTTATTTTTTAATTCCCTATGTTTTGTTTTTTAGTCACCTTTTGAATCTGGATCATCAGTTGCACCAATACTGGTAGTGCTGGGCCCCAGAAGACAGGAAGCTTGTGCTGTATGTTTCTCAGAAGGACATGAGAGAAGGGGATGGGGTGGAACAACGCTGTTGTGTTGTGGGCAAGATGGGGAGGAGCAAGAGATGGGGGTAGAGCCATGAAAGTGTTGTACAGTACTCACCCCCATCCTCTGCACTCCTCTGGACAGGAGAGAAGATAATGGGGGGATAGGATCATGCTGCATTTTGTCCACACTCAACATATGTGAGCATAGGGAGGGGAGCCCAGTGTGGAAGAGTCTCAAGGGTCTGGTCTGATAGGAAGTGTGTCGAGGACTTTGGGGATGTGAATCATGAAATGCTTCCTGCTCTCCTGGGTACAGACGGAGTGTAGGATGGAAGTGGGAAATGTCTTTCTGCAGAGAAGGAATTTTGAGACCAGACCTCAGGGTAGACAAATCTTAGGTAAGATGGCACAAGACCTCACAAAGAGTTAAATAAGTCATTGGTATGGGATCATTAATAGGATGTTAGTAGTGTGAATGCAAATGGTGTTATATGATATCTGTGAGAATCTTTTCATTCATGGCCGAGGGAATGTTTTGGATCAAGTGGAAATCATTACAGAATTTGACAAAATGACATCTGACTATTTTTGGTAGAAAAAGGGCAAGGAGATGTCTGCCCGCTATTTTGGAGGAAAACCACCCAGAATAAATTGATTCTTGTTGCTAGTGAAATCACACAAATATCTGTTACTAGGATCAAAACTGCTAGGTACTATTATGTAATCCTAGACGGCACATCTGACATTAGTCACCTAAAACAGTTCACTGTCGTATTGAGAATTGTGGCCATCTGTGAGTAGGAGGCATCAAGGAATATTTTCTGGAATTAATTCCAGTGAATGGCAGAAAAGGTGAAGGGTTAATTGAGAGAGAGCTTCAGAACTTGAAGGAGCATAATTTGGACATTTAGGACTGCTGAAGGCAAGGGTATGGCAGTAGTAGTATGAAAAGCAAGAAACTGAAATGCTTTTGTGTGAGCATGCACAACTTCTAGGGTTATCTGCAACCCATGTGCCTGCCATGATCTGAACCAGGTTGTTATTGACAGTCCATTCCTCAGAAATTGTGGAGTTGCTCTATAGCAGTGGTCCCCAACCTTTTCTGTGGGGCAGGCGCCGGACGACTAGCCGCCGAGGACCATGGCTGCCGGACAAGCAGCCGCCAAAATGCCGCCATGAAGCAGCAGCATCAAGAGGTGTCGCTGCCAAAATGCTGCCGAAATTCGGCGGCATTTCGGCGGTAGTGCTTCTTGACGTTGCCGCTTCTCGGCGGCATTTCGGCGGCTGCTTTTCCGGCGGCCAGTAGGTGGATGCACATGGATGCCCCAGCGGGCGCCATGGCGCCCGTGGGCACCGCGTTGGGGACCCCTGCTCTATAGCTATTTAGAGTAGCTTTACAATCTCTGTGCTTTCTCATCACCTCACTGGCAAATCTTAAATCATGTTGCCATGACTCCAAAATAGCTTCCCGGAGCATGGTGGGAAAGCAGGATGAACTCTGTGAAAGCAGTTTCCTATGCACTGAAGCATTTTTTGAGATGCACTACTAAAGAATGCTGAAAATATTGAAACCAGTAGAGCATGAACTCCTTGTAGATGTTGCCAAACTGGTAAATGAAATATCAGTCCTACACAATGTTCCCTCTAATTTTTTTTCGATCCATGTGCAGAATGAATTTTGTTATGTGCACCAATATTGAGTTAATGTCTGGATGTGCGCCACTAGTAGAAACAAAAAACCTAGATATAGTATATATTTTTAAAAAGTTATCATAGGGATAATTACTTCAGCCAGGACAGGTTAGGCATTTTAGAACTCACTACTCCAAGAATTAAATTTAAGTACAAGAGAGAAATAAAAATTATGAAATTCATAGACCAGTCAAAAACTAAAATAACACACTTTGAAAGAATAAAATTACAGAGAATATATGTGAATTGCAGGAAGTACCAAGAAGTAACAACAACAACAATAGAAGTGTGTGTTGGGAGGTGAGTGTGAAAGACTGTGTGTGTGTGTGTGTGTGTGTGTGTGTGTGTGTGTGTGTGTGTGT